TATATATATATATATATATATATATATATGAGCAGCTATTGCAACTTTCATGAGCCATAAGTACATCAAGAAGCAAGAACAGACATGCATGAACAGTTTCTTTATCCCCAGAGCAGAAGTGAAGTAGAGGAATAAAAAAATGAGTAGCAAAACACATGAACAAGAACGACAACCCAATAAGCACAAAATAGTACCCAATAACTACAAGTACAAGAACAATTGAGGTTATTTTCCTATTTAGGCAACTGATTGAGAAGTTTAAGGTGAAGGAACAAGCCTCCACATAGTTTTTATTGATCTAGAAAAAGCTTATTATAGAATACATCGAGATTTAATTTGGTTGGTGTTAGAAAAGAAAGGAGTCTCAAGATATTACATCAACTTAATGAGAGATATGTACGAGGGACTGCTACCTAGTGTGAAAACAACTAGTGGAGAGACGAATAAGTTTTCCGTAATAATAAGTCTACATCAGGGGTCAACGTTGAGCCCATACCTCTTTGTTTTAATTATGGACGACTTAACTAGGCACTTACAAGATGAGGTACCATGGTGTATGTTGTTCGCGGACAACATAGTTTTGAATGATGAGATCCGAAACGGTGTCAAAACAAAGTTAGAACTTTGGAGGGATGCTCTAGAACCTAAAGATTTAAAACTTAGCCAGACTAAGACAAAGTATATGGGATACAAGTTTAGTAATCATAGGAATAGAGACGAAGAAGTAATTAAGATTGATGGCCCAGAAATACTAAAAAGATGCCACTTTCGATATCTTAGGTCGATAATCCAGAAAAATGGAGCGATTGAAGAAGATGTCGCACATAGAATTAGAGTTGGGTGGGCAAAGTGGAAATGTACAACCAAAGTTTTATGTGATTGCCACATACCAATGAAGCTGAAGGGAAAGTTCTATAAGACAGCTTTAAGACCAGCCTTGCTTTATGGGGCGGAATGTTAGGCGGTCAAGAAACAATATAATGAGTGTAGCTGAGATGAGGATGCTGAGATGGATGAGTGGCAAGACAAGAAGGGATAGAATTCGAAATGAATACATTCGTAAGAACTTAGGTGTGGCACCAATAGGCGATAAGATGAGAGAAAGTATAATTAGGTGGGTTGGCCATGTGCAGTACAGACCTAGTACAACACCTGTTAGGAGATGCGAGTTAGTTCATGTGGAATGATCAAAAAGGACAAGGGATAAGCTCAAAAGAATATGGTTGGAAGTAGTGAGAAAAGATACTGGGACTTATGACCTCACTGAGGGTATGGCCCTTGATAGAGCAGAATGACAAACCAAGATTCGCGTAGCCAATCCCAAATAGTTGGAAAAGCTTCGATGATGATGATGATGATGATGAACAACAAATACAAAAAAAACGCATTCAAAGAGATGGAACTTTACTGTCAAGTAAAACTTATACTTTTCTTTTTCATTTTCCTTTTTCTTTTATTTACTCTGTTATTGAAAGTTACAAGTAGAACTTTTTAGTCATGCCTCTGACCCCTATAATCTATAATGAGATCTAACTGTCCACAAAGCACGAGTTGTAAACCATGAGAACCTTGAGACTTTATTGTAGAAACTAGATACTTCATACAAATCCTATTATCTTAGTATCTAGATCCTAAGCTTTCAAGGATCCTATATTAGTGTGAAATCACTAAATAAACAAGTATCACAACAATCCTTTCTATACTTCAGAGACGCATCTAGTGAAAGCAGAGGAGATTCAAGCAACACAAAAAATATACTCATCTTAGCAGAGCAAGAAATATACTCACATTTTGAGAAATGATTTTTGACCTTTGGAGCAACAAGAGGACCTAATTAGCATATACTTGTGCAAAACAATTACTGGATCTGCTATGTTCAGGGTGAGTGTTTGCTGTGGAAACTGTTAACAGATAGACTCAATAAGCAATTCCTCAAGAAAAGGGTCTCAGATATGAAAATCAGGAAGGTGGGGTTCAGCCTCATGGTATAGTAATTAGAGGAGAGTACACCCACATCACAAGAATCCAAAGCTTGACATCCCAATTCTCACCAATAAGAAAAAGCAACTAATGATGGAGTATCTCAAAGATGTGGTCTCCTATGGGAATGGAGGTAGAACATGACACCAAGCTTTGGAACTACCAAAATGACATGCCCATTTTAGCAGAGGAATATTGACATTGAAAAGATTATGTCAGGTAAAATATGTTTGAGATGGTGGAAAATAAATCTTTCTTGCATATAAAGACAGTGTATAGCCTACCATTAGGCAACCAATAATTATAGAAATGCCAAAGGGTCACATGAAATCAAACCAAACCACCTCCCCAATTCCAAAACGAGTATGGATCAAAGAGCACAAACTCAAAAAGTTCTTATTATTAATTTGGAAAAAGACTTTTGATTGGTGGAAAATTGGAAATCAAATCAAGACAACAGTTGCAGATTTTTATGCCTCACAAAACTTTAGTAGTTCTTAAGCTAGGAGCCTGGGCCAGTAGAGCCACCAGTAACTGAATCCCAAGACAGGAAACCATTTCAGCCAGTTTCCATCTCTGTTCTTCGATATCTTCCTCTCAACTGTTTTTACAATTAGTCCGTGTCCTCACATCGATCGGGGGTATCCTGAACCACCTCCTCATCAGTCACCATACTTGAATCCTTGAATTTTGCAGCAGTTGTTGCAAAGTGAATCATTGTGGTTCCACTTAGCATGCAGTTCTTAACTGGAAGGGAGCATCAAGGTATAGCTCGGGCACAAAATTAGAATGGTGAACAGTCATAAATTCTTCATCCTCTCAGTTGATGGCAGAAATCCCTGATTCCCAAACACTGCAAGGCCAGAATGCAGTACCACCAGGGCTAAGTGGGCTGTATTGGTGCTGAGTTTGGGTAATAAGAACTGTATATATGAATGAGACTGTTGATTTCAATTACCCATCTGTGTCTTTTATGAGCAACCAACAATACATAGGGCTATGGGTTTGGTCTAACACAAAGAACCTGTGTAGCAACAATGATATGAGGATGGTTTCTACCTTGAATTAACATCGGTTCAATTGAGGCCCTCTCATTATCAGGAGATTGTTCCTGACACAAGGGCCACCATGTTCAGGAGCAACCCTACTAATCTAACCATTGGGTTGAGCAAATTCTATGATGGACGAGATAACCTAGAGTTTTTTAGCCATTCAGATTATGTGAGTGTTAAGCCTTTGATATCCATTCTTTAATAATTAAATAATACACCTTCTCTACCAAGCAGCTAAAAAATATATTGACACCCACATCACAATTCCAGACTTATACAATGCATCATATAAAAAAATAATTGGATAATTCTTCAAGATAAATGTCATGGTAATGAGGAGAGATACACCAAGTTTGCTAATTAGCTAAATAATATAAATTTAAATTTAAACAAATTTAATCATATTACGGACCTCGTCTTGCCATCCACTTCCTCTTCTTGCTCTGGTTTCTTATCAATCTCACTCCTAACTTTGTGAAGCAATGCATAGTCCAGGCCTTTCACCAAATGTGTATGTTCCAAATCACCTGCAATACATCATCTTTCTTTATATACAGAACATGATACAAGGTATATTAGCATTCATTGTAGGGCAGACAAAGTATTCAGCAATTAGAACAACATTTCTTTCACATAAGCAGGGCTGCCACCAGGCAAGGTTCGGTCCGCCCTGAGCCCGCCCCAAAGAAAGCCTGAATTCTTCAGGCACAGGCCCAAAAAAAAATGTGATTTCGGGCTAATCCAGACCCATGCATGGCTTTTTTAAAAATTTTAAAACAAGCATTGAGAAGAGGTGTGGGGCATGTTGCCAACCCCACACACACACACCCCTGCCCCCCAAAAAGTCCATTTTCTTTCTCCTCATCTCTCTCCCGCCCCGCCCCGCCCTGCCCAACACAAAAAGTCCCCATTTTCTTCTCTCTATTAACTTTCTTCTCCAAACATGCAGAAGCTCTCTCTTTCTCTCTCTCTCTCTCTAGTCCCCATTTTCTCTTGAGGTCTTTCTTAGCTCTCAACCACTCTGCACCTTTTTTACTTTTTTTTCTTTTTTTTTTAATGGTGGTATGGGCATCATAGCAAGGTTGACCTCAACCGAAGATACGAACAAACTTTCAGAGTGCCATTCATTCGTGGTCCTCAATTCCTCCAGTAAAATGGAGAGATACATTGATTACACAAAGGTGCCATGGTCTTTCTTACTAGAGCATTTGTCATAGCTGGTGATCCTCTGTCTCTATCATGGTCTGGTAACGCATGGGTTCAAACCCTGGAATTCATGGCAAACCTCTGCATATGCAGGTAAATTTAGAGAAAGAAAGAGGTATATCTCTTCGAAAACAGCACGAGGGAACTAGGGTAAAAGATATTTCTAGAGAGAGAGGATTTTATAGAGAGAAAGAGGGGGTCTAAATTCTCTGGACAAATATATCTGAAATGAGTCCGAGGTTGGACCTATGACTTAAGCCATATCATAGGCATCAGTCGTCGGTCAGAACCTTAGGACGAATATATCTGGAATGAGAATTGACTGATGTATGACTTGCTAGAATTACAGAAGGGGTTGAGAGAGAGAAAGGAGATTTTAGATAGAGAGAGAGATGGGGGTTACCAATAATTGTTGGGTTTTTGGAAAAGTGGGAAGAGTAGAAAATGAACTTACCAACATCAGTTTGTGTGGGTATGAAAGAGAGAGAGAGAGAGAGAGAGCATGGATTAGCACAGCCCATTAGGAGATAAATAGAACAAAGAATTGAGAATCCATCACTAGAGAGAGAGAGAGCATGGATGAGCAACACATGTTAAGAGGGGCAGAAACAGAACATGAACTGACCAACCATAGTTAGAGAGAGGGGGAAAGAGAGAGAGACAGAGAGAGAACTTGTGATTTGCAGGTTGTAGAGAAAGAGAACATGAATTGACTAACCAAAGTTAGAGAGAGTTAGAGAACCCTGAATTTGCTAGTGGTTTAGACTTCAGAGAGAGAACCTGCATTTGCAGATTGCTTAGGAGGTCGTCATGGTTTCGAAGACTGACAGCTGGTAATCGAGACGGCTAGAGAGAAAGAGTCAGAAGCAGAAATCAGCAGTTAGAGGGAGAGAGAGTCAGAAGTAGTAATTAAGCAGTTAGACAGCGAGAGCAGGAGATGTTGTATTGGAGGTTTGAGAGAGAGGGAAAGGAGCAGTGAAGTGCGTAGAGGTTGTATTGGAGGTTCGACAGAGAGGGAGAGAGACAGAGAGAGAGACGCAGGGGGGGTGATAGGATGGAGAGTTCAGATTTCGTGCCAAAGAAAGAGAGACAGAGAGGATGTTAGAATGGATGTTTCTAGCTTTCAGGCCAGAAAGAAGGGGGGCGCAGGGAGGATGTTGAGTTTGGGGCTTTTGGGCCAAGTACGGCCCTAACCTGGCCTACACTCGCCCGAAACCCTGGCCCGGACTGAAAGCCCGAGGCATGGCCCAGACCACTGGCAATTCTACACACAAGACTTAGAAAACCAAATACGCTAACCAAAGTTGCACCTAGCTATGTTGTATTTTTCATTAGCAATGGGATACCTTTTCTCGGTTGAGGCAGACACCAGAGCACCAAATCAGCAAAACGAAGAGACTAACGTCAATCCCATATGTTGCAAGGAGCAAAACATTATCCTGGTTTCCCAAATCCCTAATATCAGCTAGCCTATGACAGTTCTCAAATTCGAGTAAAACATAATCATGAGATACAATCTATGACTGAGTTTTGGATTGTTTAGCAGACAAACCAAATTCATCAACTTCATGGTATAATCAATTTTATCAAGATAACAAATCCAACCTACTCATATGCATCCTATACAATCACACATTAAATCCTTTGAAATGATTATTAATGAACAAAAATCAGCTGATATCTATATAATACCCTAAAAAGTTTAAAAATAAATGAAACCATCAACCAGCCTCACCTCCAAGGTACTTGCTATTTTCAATGGATATTTTATGTGCATCAGCTATCCTGCAAAAAAACAAAATCACATATTGATGTTTATACTCTACATAAAGAAAAAATAATAACATGAAAAAGAAAGAAACTAGTAAAAAAATTCCTAAATAAAGACAAACTGCATAAAGTATTTTGGTAATAGAAAGGAATTTCCATTATCATGATTGTAACCTGAGATCGACAGTGCCAGGAGGAGCAACTGCATGGAAAGATCCCAATTCTGTAGGCTCATAATCAGGGTTTTGGTCTTCTCTACGTTCCTTTGCACGGTCACGGTATTTGGGCAATTCTGGTTCGTCCTGTTTCTCTTCTCTGTGCAATGCAGGGAAAAAAACGGACAGTTAAAAGAGACTCCAATTTAAGCAATACACAAAATGTTATTCACTTAAATAACATAATTTTATCTTTGTAGTTGTGCATCTACTTTAGGTCACAATGCAAACAAATGGGAAGAGAGAGACCTTTTTATTTATCTCGAAACATAATTGTAGGCAAATATTGCAATATCTTAGTTACATGGTGCACAAAATAAGCACGCTACAATTTATTTTATTTTTTTGACTAGGTTGCATAGGAATGGAACTTGAGATGTTGTGCTATGAAAACACAACCTCTATCGTCTTGACCCAAGGCCAATTCCTAAAAATCAAGCTACAATTATGGCCATGAAATGGAAATGCTGAGACCTAAGTTCCAGCAAGCTTCCCACCCTATAGTAAAACTAGTCTAAAATTTTTTAGAAAACATCCACTACATAGATGAAAGAACTACATAATAAAAATGCTCCAAGTCCTTCCGAATAGTGACAAAGTTCCTCTAACATTTCTAAAGTTACAGGTTTACTTCTTTCCTCAAAGTGTTGCTTAAATTCAGTAACAATTAGGCACAAAATGTTTCAACATGGTGGGTATCAACCCAATAAACCTCATGGCTACTATCACTCAGTTTTAGCATAGAATATAGGTCACAAGTTACGTGAAACATCAGATATCCTTTTATGTGATTAAGGATCTGCGAGTATGGATTATGAGATTTCACAATGAAAGCATCAATTCCAACAATATTACATGATCCTTTTCGTGGATACTTAATTAAAACATATTTCATAAAAAATATTTTCATCAAAAGAAAGTATATGTGTCGACACCCATTTGTACCAAAAATACAAAAAAATAACATATTTACTTCAAAGCCCCCATTATCCATTTCTAGGAATTTTCCAGTCCTTTCTTCCAGTCCTAAATTCCCACACTTTTAGATAAAAAAAGAAAAAAAAGAACATCACAGAAACTATCCTGCTAAAAACAGATCACATATCAGTCATGAAAAGTATCAGTTACTGTAAAGTTTCCAACTTTAAGCCTCAGCCAAAACGCAGTATTTTTTCACATCCTAAACCACCAAATAGTCCTCATTTGACTAAACTTACCTGAAACACTCGAAATTAACCAAACTGAAAAAAAATTTATAGATTCACAAGAAGAAACATTTCTCATGGAACAATTGAATAGCTTTACACACAGATTTAATACTTACTTCCGACGAGCCATTTTTTCCTTATGGTACCTCTTCGCTGAGGCCATCGAGAGAACAATTGTGCCTGAAAATAAGAAATTTTACAGACATGATTAACTGCATAAAATGAAATCGCTAAAAAAAAACACCTAAACCATGAAATTTTAAATGAATTCATAACCAATTGATAGATTTGATCGATTTTCCTGGCACAACAAGAAGAAACCCTGATTTTGGAAGAAAGGAAGCAAAACCCCTAACGCATTAGAGAAAAAATCCCTGGTAATACAGAAAAAGAAAACCATATCCAGAAGCCTTTATAAACACTAATATCAGAAGAAATTCAAAAAAACATTTGTTTCTCATAAACTCAAATCTAACCCTAAGGGCTCGTTTGGTTCATGCGTAACAGTTTGCATACATAAACAAATTTCATATATAAAAAATTCCTTGTGCAAGATCCAATCCTGTTTTTTTTCCACGCTTGGTTCACATGTCTGGAATTCCTGTGTAGCCAGTCTCTTATGTTTGGTAACCCATTGGTAAACTATCTCCCGGAATCTAGATTAATACCTATTTTTAACTGTTCAATTGCATATATCAGATTAACTATTTCACTTCAATTTTCTAATTTTCAGGGATCTTAGGTGTCCTACCCTAGCTGCATTTCTCTTAAGAATTTTTCTCCATTTCATCAATTTCAATTTTGCTATAGCATTACATTACAAATCACATTTTCGAGGCAACACAAACTCGATGAAAAATCAAACTGTAATCCATACATACAAATAAGAAGTTATAATAGTACGAATGGTGTAATTCAGAAAATTTAATAGAAAACATATTATTAAAAAGGAGAAATCATACCACATGGAAAAGGGAGGCATAACCCATGTTTCCTTTCCTCTTTTACATTGTAAAATAAGTACAGGACTAAAGAAATTCATATAATAGAACTATAGAACAGCAATACGCATTCAAAAGAAAACCCAATTTCACCAATACAAATCCTCACTAATTGAGCAACCATAAATTTCATAAAATTGACATAATTGATAAATTGATCAAATGCACCTCAAAGAGACTGATATAATATAAAAAAAGTGAATAAGCAATGAAGAGATTCACACCCAATAAATAAACAAAATACAAACGGGACTTTCAACGGATTACTGAAAAAAACAAATAACTCTTGATTTTTTTCCCTTTTGGAATCATTATTGCAGTGGAACTATGAGGTTAAAAGTATTAAAAAAAAAAAAAGGCTTCCATTGGGGAGCAGGGGGGGTACAAAAAAAAACAAAATCTAAAAGGAAAAAACAGGAAAATAAAATAGAAAAAACCCATACCCAAGTTTTTTTACAGATTAACATAGAGCTCCTATACACAACAAAACATAAAAAAGAAGCATCAAAATTAAAAGAAAAACTTCAAAAAATACAAGAACAAACTAGAAAATACAAAAATAAAAAATAAAAAAAAATGAAAAAATAAAAAACCAGAAAAAATGCAACAAAGAACACCTATACTTTTTTTCTAACAGAGAATGATATGTTGTTGTGCATTTACAATGAAGAATCCTTATGCTATTGTTATATTGCCAGTTCTATTTACCCCGAGTAAGCAAACCTACATATCAACAATAGAATAAATTTTGTTTTTCCCATTAGACGCCGACAAATAGAACCCACCACTAGGAGAATTTGTTTTTGCCATTAGATGCAGAGCAAATAGAGCACACCATCAATCTCATGGAGCCATCAACAGCCTCATATACAGAGATTTATCTCCAACAAAAAAAATAAACAGAAAAGCAGCAAAAAAATAAAAGGAAAACTGGCAAAAAGTAAAAGAAAAAGAAAAAAAAACCTTACCTTGCTGAAGAAGATGAAGAATGTCGAAGATGATCAGACTTAGAAAGTAATTCTCGTTTGGGAGAGAATACAATAATCGGGGAGAGGGAAGAGCAGAGTCGAGGGAGAGGACACGGGAGTGAGAGAGAGTAGGGAGGTTTAGAGAGAGGGAATGCTGTTTGTTTTGGGCTTAGACATTCTCTTTGAAACCCTTTTCTATTTTCCCCGGGAGCCTGTTACCCCCTTGTCAGGTGGGGCTCGTTTTCGCGCGATTTACGCCCTAGATTGGTAGTGTTTACCCATGGGACGAGTTTTTATCATTCGGTAAATCAAAACATATGTAATAAATTCGTTTTATTTTTTAAAAAAAATAACAAAAAATTAGGTCAAAAACATGGATCGCCAAAAATAGGATGAGTTATAGAATTATGAATATTTTGGATTTGGCTGAAAAAACAGTGAAAAAATTGTATATGTAAAAAAGACACGGTATAAGATTTGCAACTATTGTATATATACATTAAAGCCATTGAGCAATAATTTTATGGCCTTACCTAGTGTCATTAGAGCAATATTGGATAATTTTTAATCTAAACTCTCACTAAATCCAACAATAATGCTTACTTGTTGTCATAACACAGATCATATAAAAAGATTTATTGGGTATAAAATGAAACAACAACAACAATACTAAACACAATAACTAAATTAGTAAATAAAAAAAAATTGTAAGCCAAGGTGTAGGATTATTGTTCATAGAAAAAAAAAAAAACTTTGAGCATAGAATTGTAATTAACTAAAATAAAACACAAAGATACAAATATATAAAATAGATTTAAAACGTTATGTTATACACACCAATAAAATAAAAATAAAATACGAAATTAATCGAACTTCTCTATGCATAAAAAAAGCAACAAAATGCTTAAGCAAATTCGAATCCCACATTTAATGCCTAGTTACCTAAATCTTTAGTATCATTGAATTTCTCTGTTGCTCTTCATAAAGACGTTCTGGGTTTTAAGGAAAAAAAAAAAAAAGATTTTCAATTGAGTTACTGTTCTTCTAACTCTACTTATTACTATGAGATACATGATTATTTGATATCTTAGTTTTTGGAGAATCTATTGCTTGTATTTTTTGTACACGTTTTTTAAGGAAACTTATTAGTTAAATATTTGTTAAATCAATATTTTTTAATTTATTTCCGTTAAACTTATTTTTAAATCAAAATTCAATAATATTAAGTTAATAAAGAAATAAATTTATATGAAAAATTTTTGAATTTTTTTTGAAAAAAGATAAAATATGGATGTATATCGGTTTCATTAAAAAAAAAAAAATTGAACATCATTAGAAAAACTCGAAATTCTTAACGGATTTCAAAAAATCTCGAAATTCTTAACGGATTTCAAAAAATCGAAGATTAAAAATATATATATATATATATAAATATATATATATGTTCTAATTGGAGAGTTGCTAACTATGGTTTTAATGGACTTTACAACCTAACCAAACGTGCGTAACTGTCTGATTCATATGAAAATTGTTTCATGATGCAAGATTTCATACGAACCAAACGAGGCCTGGGTGATTCCACGTAAGCTAAAGGATACAGAACTTTTCTTTCCTCCTTTTGTTATTTTCGAAAAGCTGAAGATCAGACTTTGTAATTGCAGTTTGCTTAACCCCGCAACCCCCCCTGACTTTCTGCACCGGCGGGAGTGTGCTATCCATTTACTCTCTCGGGCAAAAACACCAGAAAGGGATACTTTTTAAACCTCAAATTTTGGGTATGTAATCTTTACAACTTATAGAATATCTTAATTGAAAAAAAAAATCCCAAATAACTCTATGTGTACTTGAAAAAACTAGTGTCTCAAGATTGACTCAAGACCGTTTAATTTTTGAAAGGCTAGATCTAAGTGTCACCAAATTCAAAATACAACGTTTTTCCTTTTAAAATAAACCATGTATCAATGCTTATGTGGTTCCCAAAAGTCTAGACTGAAAAAACTTCGTAAGTAGGTATTTTGGGCGAAATACACAGTATATTCCCATGGGATCCTATTATACCTGCTCTCTAGTCAAACAAGAACATTTCACCATTTCCAAAGACCTAATGTTGGCCCATATAAGTTCATCCGGCTATTCAAGACCAAGCCTTGTTCAGAGTTATAATGGCGTGGACCAGGAGGCAATCTCATCTCTCCATTCTCTCGTTTATTATTGCCGTCTTATTGGGGCCCTCTTTGTGTAGTTTGCCGGAAAAAATTCCGGTGGCCTTCTTCATATTCGGAGACTCTACAGTGGACGTCGGGAATAACAACTACATCAAGACCGTGCCGGAAAACCAGGCAGGTTTCCAGCCTTATGGAAACAATGGAGTCTTCGGTGGACCTACGGGCCGCTTCTCTGACGGTCGGGTTATCGTGGATTTCATCGGTAACCATATCTTTAAATGTTTAGTTGGATTTGAACACGGGTCAAGGGTTGGCAATAGCCCCGACACCGTACCCGAGGGATAGACTGATTTGGGTCCAGGGTCAAAAAATTGGACTTGAAGGGTCGGGTCATGTACAAATCTTGGACCGGAATATTGTTTGGGTCCAGGTCTTGGTGCGATAATATTTTTCGGATCCTAATTTATGAAATATATTTAGATATAGTTCAATACATAGCTTTTTAAATTTTTGGATCATATTAGGTGCGAGTCCAAGTTCAGTGAATTCAAGTCCACTCGGGTCTGGGTCCAGGTCCAGGTCTAGGTCCAAGCCGGAGTCCAACCCGTTTCCAGCTCTTCTTGATACTGTCAGTTTGTGAATCTCTGTTGGTGCACACGTGCTGGCCTTCTTTTTCTTGTGTTACAATTTTTTTTTTTTATGCAAAACTTGTATTAAAGAAAATTGGCTTTATAAAAGAACCAAACTCAGATTTGGCATTCTCTATCTACCCCGTACGCGAGGCTCAACGAGACAAACCATACTGAGAAATCGGGCTTGGGCCAGCGTAGTTTGCAGCATAGTTAGTAAGTCTATATTTAAAACATGATTTTTTAAACAAAATCTGATTTTTTAAAAATATGTTAAAGAACTTCTAGTTTTTGAATAGCTCTTTAAAAAAAAATCATATTTTTTAATGAAACCAATATAAACCGTATTTTATCTTTTTTGCAAAAAAAAATTCAAAAAAACTTCCTCTCTATAACTTCATCCTTTTTTGTTTTTGGTAAATATCTCTTAATTGATTTAATATATTTGAATTTTGGTTTAGAGATAAGCATATTAAAAGTAGAAGTAAATTAAGAATATTGATTTAACAAAAAATTCTATACAAATTTTTCACCAATATTTATCTTAAAAAAATTGCAATATATTCTTTAAAAAATAATCCCTCAAAACAACCACATGGCTCAAAATAATGGTAAGAGTTAGAGGAAGAGTAACCTAATAAAAAATCTTATTTTCTTCGAAACAGATAGCATCCTTAGAAAGAGAAAGAGAGAGATTCAGTGACACTAGAGATTTAGGCAGCAAGGAATTTGTGGTGAACTTCGAATATTTGTTTCCTTAAGCATTTTGTTACTTTCTTTCAGCATACAAAACTTTGATTAATTTCACCTGTTCATTTTTTTTTTTTAATTTCATTAGTGTATTCTATAGAACAATTTGGATAGGCCACCATTTTACTTTTTTGATTTTTTGTGTTTTAGTTGTCTGCAATACTATATTAAAGGTGGTTACCAAAAAAAAAAAAAAAGGAAATACAGTACTGAAGATCGTTTTGTTGTTTTCTTCCAAAGATAGTCTCATACCTTGGGTTCCGGTCGTGTTGTTTGCAAATATAGTTATTTTGATTATTGTATTGTATGCTCCAAATAAATCTATCATATATTTTGTATCGTACCAATAGAGTAGGCATTGTAATATTGATTGAAAGTTCAGATAAAATTTGTTAAGTATGATTATAAATGATACTAGTTAAGGACATACAAATTATAGTTAAGTGGTTTCAATGTATCCATGCAATAACTACAACTCAAAATCTTATATTAGGTTATCTTCACATGTCCGATTTTTTTGAGATAAACCCGACTTAATCACGATTCTCTAACTTAACTAATTTTTGGCGATCCATATTTTTTACCCAACTTTTTACTTCCAATTTTTTGGAACAAAACCAATTTATTACTAATATTTTAGTTAACCGCTATGTTGTTATTTCCCAACTTGCTCGTTTGCAGTTGATGGTAGCAACATTACATCTTAATTTCCATTCCTACAATCATTTGATTCCCACATCTTAGTCTAATTTTTCTTTTTCCTGATTTTTACATTAATCATTTTGGAATAAGTGCAGCCCAATATGCAAAACTGCCAAACATTCCTGCATTTCTTGAACCTTCAGCTGAGTTTGTTCACGGAGTCAACTTTGCCTCTGGAGGAGCCGGCATCTTGCCTGAAACTCACCAGAATCTGGTAAATATTGTGAGCAAAATTGAAATGTGGTCGAAGATTTTATTATTATTATTATTATTATGGAAAAATATAGGATGAGACTATTTACCATTGGTACAAGGTGGTCACATTAATCTTGACCATCAGATGTGAAATTGGGTGACTGCAAGCTCAAGCTTCAAGAGAATTTTTCTCGCAATTTGTGACACATCCAAGCTATCAAACTTCACATTGGATGATTGTAAGTATTTGTGACCACCTTGTATCAAAGGTAAATGGTCTCATTGTATACAATCTCTACCATCATCATCATCATCATGAGGAAGCTCAATGACCTAATTGTGGCTCTCGCCATACTTTTCTTTTTTTTCTTTTTTTTTTTGAGTAGTTTTTACCAAATTTACAAAGTGGAAATGATTGGCCCATCTGGACCCTCCTGTTCGATGGACCAACCTATCCAGCAATGTTGGTCCTAACCTCTATTTAAATGGAACCCCATCCCTTGCTTAATTGAGCAGAACACGGGATCAAAGGTTCACGGATGTTTTAAGTGTTTGGCGCCTGGAAAACCCCATGAACCATATGATATATAGGATAATTTGCCCTTTTGAATTTACACAAAGTTTGAGCAAATTGAGCTTTTTCTTTTTTTTGTAGTTTTTTTTTTGTTTTTGTTTTTTGTTTTTGGTGCAGTTTGTATAAAGCTGAGATGCTAAGCAATCAATGTAAGGTGCACCTTTAAATAGTGTCGAAAGATGTCGTTTCAGTACAAAGAATATTCATGATTGCCTTAAAATTTATTTTTATTTCAAATTATAAAAATAAAAAGCTTCAAAAAAAATAGTGTAGATCAAGTAGATATGTGAACACAAAAAACCTAAATAAAATATAATAAAATTAGAATAGGCATTTATGGATGAGGATTTAACTAAACCAAAAAAAATATTAAATAAGCTTAGATAAAGACAAAAAAAATAATGGGAAGAAGACATATACCCCCTCTCTAAAACTATTATCCTAAATAACCCCCTGGTTCTATAAACAACATATAGAACACCCCAAATTAAGAAAAAAAAAAACGGATGTTTAACCTTATGCTTATCTTTTCCATTGTATAAACTACATCATTTACCCTTCTATTTTTTCTTAATCACCCATTATCTAAATCCCAAAAAAACTCTCTTTCTTTCTCTTCTTCCCTCAATAAACACTTCATCCCTCTCTCTCTAGCAACCTTCCCTGAATATTTAACTCTCTCTCTTTCATCTCGAGAACCTCCCAAGTAAGTTAAAAAAAAGATATCGAAAATTTCATTCATATAATAGGGTTAATAGAAAAAAAAAGAAGGGTAAATACAGTAATTTAGACAATAAAAATAGTAAAGAGTGGGTTAAATGTCTTTTCTTTTAACTTCGAGGGATTCCATAGATTTTTATTGGCCCTGGGGGTTATCTGATATCATAATACTAGAGGAGAAGGGGAGCCGGTTTCTGTTTTAGGAGGTTAGGGTGATCAACCGGTATTTTTTAAAAAAAATTTCAAAAAATGTATATAAATTCTCAACAATAAGGAATTTGATTTGTAATACATTTTTAAATATTATTTATATTATGGTAAAGATTAAAAATAGTTTTGGTTATTGACACTCACTTCTATATTTTTCCATCTTTTTTAAAAAATTTTAAAAATAGTCATTGGAAAATATAAAATGGATTAAAATTCATTTTTTTTCATTAATTTTCAAATTCATTTGAATGTGTTTTGTTTAATCAGTCTTTATATGGTTTTCATATTTTAGTAGATTTTTTTTATATATTTTTTTAACAAATTTTTGACCACTTGGGACTTGTTCGGTTAGAGCGGTTGAATCAGCCGGTTTACCGGTTAGGCCAATTAAACCGCTTTCAAACCTATGTCCGATTAACCGTTCCGGTTCGATTTTGTGAACACAAGGTGTTACCCTTTGGGAGAGTTTTCTTCATAGGAGATGTTATTGAATGCTCCAATTTTAGCATAGTTTTTTCTCCCTTTGGATTTACCTTCGTACTCCATGCATGTTTTGTCTCATTTTTTTATTCTAATCAATGCACGTTTTGTGTCATTTTTTTAAAAATTATAATCAAAGTAAAACCTTTTGGTAGATTTCTTTTTTTATTTTTTTATTTTAACATCTCATATTTTTGGAGGTATTTAAGAAAAGTTTCCTTTTTTTTTTCTTCATATTTTATGGTCATGTTTTTCTTTATGCATTTTTTATTTTCTTCAAAAATAACCCAGCTTAGAAGTTCAAGTTCTGGACCAACTTTTTGTAAAGCAACTGGTTTGGAACTTTAAGTTCCGAACTTGTCTTCACTATAAGCTCATGTAAGTTAGACAGATCAGCTCACTTGTCTTTTTTTTCTTTTTTTCTTGTAATAGTTTTCAAATGTTTGAGGACCCGGAGTTTCGAATTGACAAGTTTGAATGATTTTAGAGTGAAGACCGGTTTAGAACTTGGAAGTTCTGAATCGGTTAGTTGATGAAAAAGTCCGTTCAGAACTCTATGTTCGGAACCGACCTCTCGACAGAAAAACTTGACACCCTAGTTAGGAGCTTGATTCTAATGTGGGTCTACTTTGGGGAAAAATGAAGAACATCAAAAATGACATATTATGAAAAAAAAGAGAGTCATTTTCTTAAATAAAACAAAAAAAAAAACAAAAATTTTCCAAACTTCTGGTTTTGATGAGAATGAACGACCCATCACTTCCTGAAAGTTAAGATATTGAATTTAGGTTATTTGTCAAAAAAGATATTGAATTTAGGTTTCTAGACACATGGCTTTTTTTTTTCATGGGATCTTTTTCTTTTTTTAAAGAAATTTAGAAACATTTCCCAAACTTCTGGTTGTGATTAGAATGAACGACCCATCACTTCCTGAAAGTTAAGACAATCGTTTCTCTCACAATGGTCTTATTGAATTTAGGTTTCTAGACTCGGGACTTTTCTTTTTTTTCTTTTTTTTCATGGGCTATTTTTTTGCCCTTTTATTTGTTTCAGGCAATTGACCTAAGGAAGCAACTAGAGAACTTCGAAGAGGTGCAAAGGTCGCTGAGTGAAAAACTAGGGGATGCACAAGCTGAGGATTTGATATCCAACGCTGTGTATTTCATAAGCATGGGAAGCAATGACTACATGGGTGGATATGTGGGCAATCCCCTCATGCAACAATCTTACTCACCTCAACAATATGTAGGGATGGTAATTGGCAACTTAACAAATGCAATACAGGTTGGTCTTTTACTACTCTAAGAGCAATTAACTGGGCAACTTCCCAAGTGAAATAGTACTATGATCCACAGGACCACATGAAATATATAGTCACTAGGTCATCGATGTTTTTTTTGTGTGTGGGTAATTCAGTGGAGATGACATACTTCTACCCGTTTTTGAATTAATTGGAGGTTTTTGAAGCTGTAAGTGGGAACGAAACCCACAACGTATAATTGAAGTATGGGGTGTGCTACCACCATGACCTCAGCTCCTTTCTCAAAACTCAAGTTTGGGGATCAAGCTCATGACCACTCAAGCTGAGAGGCACACAAGGGTAGTAAAGATAACTAGTACACCACTATGTGTTTTATAATATATAAAATATTTGCACTCGTGGGAATTGAACCCTAGCGCAACATACAAAGGCAGATGAGCCAACCTATACGACCCTTAATGGCTTATCACTAGGTCATCAATGTTAGCTTCATGGTTAATGGTTATGAAAAAGAGTAGGGTTTCCCAATTATGACATGCATTGTAGTCCCCATCATATCTCCAATGTCCAATACATTGATAAGGGGTGGCAATAGCCTGAGTGGCCCGGCTTGGTCAGCCCTGCCCTAAAAAACTAGGGCTTGGGCCACAAAATGTGGCCCAAAGTCCAGACAACCATAGCCTAAGGGTAGGACCAGGTTGGGGCAAGTCCATGGCCAGCCCTGGCCTTTTTCTTTGTTTTTCTTTTTATTATATATTCTATTTAGCTCAGCCCTGCCTTGATAGGGCTAGGCCTGGCTGGGCTTGGCTGGCACTAACAAGACTTGTGCTAGGGTGGCCCGGCCTAGGCCTAGCCATTGCCAACCCCAACATTGATTGTGAAATGACATCTTCATATGACATCATATTTTATGTGGTCATGTGGATCATGGTATACCTTCAACTCGCTTGATTATGTCGACAATGGAATAATTTGAAAATATTTATATTCTTTTAGGGTTTATATCAAAAAGGTGCGAGGAAATTCGGATTCTTGGGGTTGAGTCCCTTGGGGTGCTTGCCAGCACTTAGAGCTGTCAATCCTAACCCCAATAACAACGAGGGGGGTTGTTTCGAAGACGCTTCCGCACTTGCCCAAGCTCATAATGGAGCAATCTCAACTGTTCTCAGGAGCTTAGAACATCACCTCAAAGGATTTAAGCACGCAAATTCCAATTTCTACAACTGGTTAGCTGATAGAATGATAAACCCAGCAAAATACGGTATGACATTTTTGTGCATATGTGTGCTTGTGGTAATTCTCTCAATATATTTTCAGAGTTTTACTGAGCCCAATAAAATACATTCCTCCTAAAAAATTCTGTACTTAATGGTAGAGTGGTTTATACGTTAGGTGATGCATATGTAAGACGCATGATTACATATGTGTCCGCCGATGCATCCCACATCTATTTTAAGGATGAACATGTGTTGTGGTCTCTACAAAAAAAAAAAAAAAAGTGAACTTTTTGATTTTTAAAATTTATTATTTTGAATTTTTAAAATTTATTTATTTTTACACATTCATGTTCTCCATGTTGGAGATTATATATACCTTAAAAATTAAGTCCTAAATCAATCTAAAAAATGGATCATGAAGAGGGACCCCACATCTACATATAAGTCCTATAATTCATAAAAACCGTGTCCATATTTAATTGAACACTATGTCAATATATCTCATCAAATGATGGTGGACTAAACTTTGATATATTCTTGTGTCTTGTTTGCGAAGGTTTCAAAGAAGGGGTAGTGGCTTGCTGTGGGACGGGACCATTCAAGGGCACATACAGTTGTGGGGGGACAAGGACCGTTAAGGAATTTGAATTATGCGATAGCCCTAAATCCCATGTATGGTGGGACTCTTTCCATCCAACTGAAGGGATTCATGAACAATTTGCATTGGAACTGTGGGGTGGTGCCCCACAAGATGTGGGTCCCTACAATCTTGAAGCTCTCTTCAACAATGACTTGGGCACCACCATTGCTGATATTGTAGATAAAGATGTTGATGCTACCATCTAAAAGTGGTTATTTGAAGTTCATTTTAGTATTTCTAAAGCTCTCTTACTTCCATGTATTATGGGTAGCAAGTACTTTTTTGAGTGAAAACTAGTGCTACTTAGGGAGTAAATTGTACACTTGCACTTACTAGCAGAACACTGCTTCTGTTTGACCACGAGTCTGAAATCATATTTATTCTTAGCGAAGAGATCGTATAACAACTTTTCAATTTCTAAAAAGATGCCAAATGAATGCCTGCTCCATAAGAGATGTTGAGCTGTCTATTTGATGGATGCACAGGTCTAGATCTTGAAGAACTGAATCCTTTGCTCGCTTTTTTTTGAAGTGTTCACTAGGTTAATCAAAGATATATTGCAAACTTTCATATAAATATAAATATATATATATAGATGTTTCATGTAAATAGGTGAACTTCCATATATATAGAAGTTTCCTGTAAATAGGTGTTCTGCCCATCAAGTGAAAGTGTACAATTGGTGTTGTGCCCATCAAATCTTACGGGGTATTTTCTTTCTAACACACACGCGCGCAGAGAGAGAGAGGGAGCTGGCATTTCTCCAGCATCATTCGGTTTCGATTTGCATAAGTGCACTCGATTAAACTCAAATTATGAGCTTTTACATTATACTCTCATGAAGCATATTATTCACTAAGAAAAGAAGAACAACATATACCAAATTAGTCATACAAGTAACAAAAGGGTAGGAAATGATTATTTTCATCATTTTCATCCCCTCCTCGAACTCTTGTTTCTACATCTTCAACTTTTCCCCTTGAAAGAGTGTTCAACAGAGATCAGGATTTGAAAACAGGTAATGGATCGAGGCTGGTCCGTTCCCATTTTATAATTCCTTGAAATTGGCATAGGAGAGGCATTTTGCTAATTCAGTGAGTTGCTTGTGATTATGCTTTTTACTTGGAGTTGAATAAATGTTGGTTTTCTTGTAAAGGAATACCCACCTCTCCCCCTTTGGACCACACTTTCTAGAACAGCCCCCAACCCAGGAGAAAAATAAAATAAAATAAAATCGCAGCAAAAATTAATTTACTATTTAATAGGAAAATAGCCCTCCTCAAGTAGTGTAAAATATTTTTATATCATCTTTTCTCATATATTAATTCTCTATCTGGAGCTTTTAAATTTGAGATAGTTTCTCTCTAAAAACCTCCTTAATATCTAAAAATGTCACATGATTTGGCACGAAGAGTGCCCGATCAGCTTGTGTTTTGAGAAGGAGCATTTTTTCTTAAAAACGAAAGGAATTGCTCAAGTACATGCAAGATTATCGTAAGATTGTGGCTTTATAATTAAAAATAAAGCTGCACCTCCGTACCTTGTCAAAAAAAGTAGTTCTATTATCAGAAGCTTTATAGTGTCTTCTAAATCTATCCCGACTAAAAAAATTCAAAACTCAAAAAAAAGAAAAGAAAATGAAACTCATAAAGGTCTAGATTTGGTTGATGATAAATTTGATGATACTTGAAAAGGAAGATAAACAACAAATTACAAAATATAATATTTTTTGGACCTAAAATCTATTTATTTTATATATTAAAAAAAAAATCAATTTGATAATTTTTTAGCCCAAAAAATTAATTTCCTGTAGGATGAGCGGCCGCATTAAAAAACCGTGTCGCTACCTACGGTAACCTTTGCAAAGAGATGCTGCCCGTTTTAGGAATAGAACCTGGGCTGGAGTGGTTAGTAGTTGATGTCAAACAATGCTACATTTCAAGTTCGATTCTTGCCACTTAATTTAAAATAATAATAATAATAATACATTATTGTTGTCTTTTTATTTGTCTCTGCTGCGCGTGCAAATGCATGCAGTTGTTGTGCACAATTGGCGTGGACTGAAGGGTGGGTGCCATTGCTTGCGCGTGGACAAAGTTTCATTGAAAATCGGATTTAGTTAAGAGTGAGAGTAACTCTTTTTCCATTTTTGAGAATTTTAATTAAATATAGACAGTTTTTAATGTTCAAATTTTTACTAAAAAGAGGTTCTTAATACAAGCGTTATAAATGCTAATAAAAGAAAGAAAAACCTCCCTATACTGCAAAAGAAAATAAGAGACACTTCTTTTTTGTCTTGTGTATCAGTATAAGAAAAAGCCCATTCATTTGTTCAAGACAAACGTTTGTGCAGTTCTAATGGCGAGGAACAATGCAGTTCTAATGGCGAGGAACAATGGGCATTCTCATTTCTCCATTTTCTATGTCATCGTTTATTTGTTAGCGTGCAGGCCCTGTTGCTGTAGTTTACAGGAAAGAAGTCCGGTGGCGTTCTTCATATTCGGGGACTCGGGAGTGGACGTCGGAAACAACAACTACATTAAGAGTGGGAATGAAAACCGGGCGAACTTTGAGCCATATGGAATCAATGGAGTCTTCGGTGGGCCTACTGGACGCTACTCGGATGGTCGAGTTATGGTGGATTTCATTGGTAAGCATACACTTTAAAGGGCTATGTCAAATTTCCGGCGGGTTTGTTTGTGCATATTGTTTGGATATGGTTTTGTGGCATGGAGTTGGTTCTTTTGAAGTGTTGGGGTTGGCTTCAGGCAGGCCTGCCCTTCGACTGGACAATCCGGCCAGGCCGGGCTGCTGCTCCGGCCCAGCCCAATCACAAATCAATCCGGGCAGGTCATGCCTGAACCCGGCCCTATTTAAGAGAAAAAAAAGCTGAAGACGTCGAGGAAACCGTGGCCTAAAACTACAGAGCAAGCACAAGGGTCTTAGGAATTGGGAATGGTCTTTGGATTTCAAGTTTTTCAATAATGCTAACCCATATTTTTCATGACTATGTAAAAAAAGCTATAAAATGAGTGTGTCTAATTTAGTAATCACCGCTCCTCTCCTTGGAGGATTGATATAGGGCTCCAAAAACTTAAAATTGCATTTTTAATTATTCATTTTCCAGATCAAAGATGTGCATGGTTTAGCCTAAAAAAGTCAATTTATTTATCTATTTTGACCGATGGGGGTTATACCGATAAGTCACAAAATCTTTTTTCTTATTGAAGAAATTACTTTAGTTAATTTAGGGAAACCTTTATATGTGGGGCCATCCACATTTATATGCGACTGCTATTCCCAACCATCCGATTTGAATGGCTGGTGGGTTTAGCTTCTATCAAAAGTCGGACACAACGCTGTTTTTTTTTTAAAAAAATTTATAATTAATCTTGATATGAAATTTAGAGCATACCTATTTTTTGCAGGGTGCACCTAAAGAAATAGAATGTATTAATAACAAAAATACTTATGAAAGTTACAAGCGTATTTTGATCATTTTATTTTACCAAAAATATTTTTTCTTATTTATATTAAGTGGACCATTGTGTAAAGTAAGCACATGCCAAACTCATTTCAAAATATTTTGTGGAACAAAAAGTTAAAAATTGAATACACTTAGTTATCCAATCATGATCAAATGCTCATAGGCTCACTTGTAATATTACAACTGTAACTATCCCGTCTTTTATTTAGATCAGATGGCTGAGAGTTGGAGTTTCGTATGTTTTATTTGTCAATGGCACCATATATAAATGTTTTCCTTATAACATACTAGTATACAATTTGTGAATTGTATGACCTGGAGTAATTTTGAGAGAGAGAGATGATAACTAGGAGTTCCTTTTTCTGCCCAGGATTGTGGAACTTGAAACCCCAAAGATTTGAAATGTGGATTTATAAAGCCACGATCTTAATGTAAGGCATATCCTCTATTCGTACTTTCATCTAAATTTCCAAGGGGTTTTTATTTAACTTCAATTTTGGAGAAATTTACAGAAAATTGTCATTATGATTTTGATATTTTAAAAAGGTTCTATACATTTTCTATTTTATGCTCAAGTCCCATTTTCTAATTTTTATTTATTACTGGACTAATTCAGGCATCCAATATTAGATCTTGTCTTTAACAAGAAAAAGAAAAACCAAGTTCAAGCATTGGATGTTCGAACTAGGGGTAATTTAAAGAAAAAAGAACACAATATTGAGGTTGGGGCAAAAATTTAAAAACTATATGAGATTTTGTAACATGAATGTGTTAACCAAACAAGGGATAAGGGCCCAATACCTAGATAGCCTTGTTCTGGAGAGTTCAATCCAGGTGCACAAACTGGCCCTGAGTTCTAGTAGCATAACATAGTTTGTCCGCAGATGGGGACCTCAGACTGCTTTTTGACCTGACGGCACAACCCTACTATAAAAAAAAGTTTAAAAATCAGCCCATGGATGGCATTTTGGGACTGAAGGGCAATATGGTAATAATAAATAAATAAATAAAAACCATCGGGACCGACCGTGTGCGTAAGTTTTGACTAAATTAGACCCATTTTTGTATTTTATATATAAATTTTTGTATCCGCGTATAAATTCCTCAAGAATTAAGCTTCTTGAGAAAAGGTCTTGAGGCCTAAGCTTATCTACTCTCTACTGCATATTTATATCTTTTTTCGAACCCAAGTTCCTCCCTGAAGTCTTCAATTCAATATTTGTTAATCATTGTTGTAGCTGAGTATGCAAAGCTGCCATATATCCCTCCCTATCTGGAACCTTGTGCCGAGTTTGTCCATGGTGCCAACTTCGCTTCTGCAGGAGCCGGCATCTTGCCAAAAACCAACCAGGATGAGGTAAATACTTCGATACACTGAACTTCAATAATGTACCCAAATTTGCCCTGTTTCGTAATAAGAAAATACTTAAATGATTAATAGAATCATTAACAGGTTAAATAAAGGGAAAAGTTTATACAGGTTGCAACCTTAAAATGTAGAATCACATATGCATCTCAAAAAGCTATCGGAGATGGTGTTTTAATGTTGAATAAACCTCTAATCGATCATCTCGACATTGAGACGTATGAATATGAAAAAAAAAATGTTTTTGAGCCTCGGAAATAGTGCAGCTTGCAACACATTATCTAGAGCGTCCATTTTCAAGATTTTCATATATTTATAGATCGACTTCATTTTAACCATTTTTGGAATTTGAAATTTTCTAATTAGGTATAAAATAGATTTTAAGATAATACTAAGAATTTTTTATAAAAAAATTACATGTTATGATGAAATTTTAAGGTGCGCCTTAATTCAATTGCCTAAGGTTGCATCTTTATAGAAACTGCACCCTTAAATAAATTGGGTGGCTGGATTTATTTCATTGACCAATTGATCAAACTCAAAGTTTAAAAGAAAATTTATCGAACTATGTGTCACACGGAAACTATTATATTTCACATCGGATGGTTGTAAATAATTGTGACCTCCCTATACAATGAGACCAAAAGTAATTGGTCTCATTGTATATAATCCCAATGAAAAAGTGGATTACAAAATATGGATTACTGAAGAAGTGGATTTATACTTTGAATATTTTAGAAATTATTTTAAAAAAGAAACAAATATAAACATTTCTAAATGACCTAAAAAATTAACAAAATCTTCTAAAGAAGCATTTCTTACCATTATGCTAGTGTTTTTTTTTTCTTTCTTTTTTTATAATATTTTTTAAGCATTTATTTGGACCTAACGAGTCAGTTCTATACATAACTCATCAGGAACTCGCCTCACCCTATGGACAAGGTTGAGGAACTCGCTTCACCCTATGGACAAGGCTGAGCCCTGGAAAACTAGTCCCTACAATCCATATGGGCATTATATGAAGTTATCACCATCCCAACAATGGGTTGGATGATGATGGAGGGGATGAATCCCACCATACATCAATCACCATCCAACTCATGCATTGGCAAGAATATACCACACAATTCCTATTGCTATTATATATCATGATAAACTTATCCGATTCAAGATTCGGCATGTGTTAGTTGTTCACGATTGTAATACTTCTACTTGAAAAAAAAAACTATACATGAAAAATGGTTTTATGTACTTTTCATCATGAACTTCAATCATCCAATTAAGCAATGTGGGTCCCAATCATTGCTTAAGTGGAGTCCTGAATCATGCGCATCTTTATTGAATGACCATTGGATAGACGGTCCACATGTGTAAGTTAGTTAGGTGCACAGAGATCCCCAAAGCTTAAGGGAGCTCTAGTTTGAGGAGTCTGTAATTCCCACAAATCTTACATTTGTAAAAACATACTAAAAAATATTTTAAGATCAATAAAAAATAATATTCTTTAAAATTTGAAATTCATGATAGGGGTACTTTGGTTATTTGTATTTAACTTAACTATATTCCTCAATAAGTTTTACAAGTACGTTATAGTGAGATGTATGAATGCCCAAAATTTGAGCTCAATCGAATATATAAAAAATAAATTTCAAATACAATATCCACTACAAAAAGTGGGACTTTAGTGCAACAAATAAAATATATGGGACTACTTTTAAATTTTGGAAAATAAAACGAGATTTTTCTGACAATTTCCAAAAACCAAAAAAGAAGTAAAAGTCCTATAAATATTTGGAATTAATAAATAAAGATTATATATAATTTGGATGTTTTTTACATTGATTTATGAGTTTTTCTAGTCATATAATTTATTTTTATATTTTCTCTTTTTTTTGTTTGATTTTTTTTTAGTGTCTCCATCTGTAGATCAATTTATTCAAAATCCATGTTTTATATAAGGACCCGGTTTCTATGCGGCCAAGCCCGCATACGTAGAAATGCGGCCCTCTTAATAAATCTATTTTTGAGATGGATTTTAAGACTTAATTTTTTAAGGACATGTACTCTCTAACATAGAGATCATGAATATGAATAAATAAATAGTTTTTAAAACTTAGAAATAATAATTCTAGTGAGAAAACATTTTGACTTATAATTTCCATTATTTTTAGATGGATGCGTTACACTTTTTGGACCGCATATATAGAAATGCGGTCCAGCCCGCATGAAACAATTTTCCTTTATATAAATTTTTAGGTTTTTTGGACTTCTTTTGTTGATTTTGTTTTCACTCTTTCAATTTTACTTTTCTTTCGACTTTTTTTTTTCTGAAACATTTATTTATTTATTTAGGGCCTTCTGGGCCCTATAGACTACTTGACCCGGTCAACTTGGACTCGACCGAGTTACTCGGTTAGGGCTAGGGCCGAGTCCAATGCCTGAGCCAAATTTAAAAACACTGATCAATGAGTTTTGTTCTCTGATTCCATGATTTAGTAAGATATGTGGGTTTGATGAGATTTAACAACTCACTAATTGTTGAGAGTTGAATCACCCATTTCTAATATTTATATACATGGCCTTGTTTATTCTGTTTCAGCCTATTCATTTTTGGAAACAACTCGAGTACTTTGACGATCTGCAAAGCTCACTGAGAAAGAAACTTGGGGAGGCAAAAGCTAATGAAATGATAGCCAACGCTGTATATTTCATAAGCATGGGAACAAACGACTATATCTCTGGTTATTTGGGTACTCCCATCATGCAACAATTATACTCCCCTCAAGAGTATGTAGGGATGGTAATTGGCAACTTAACACAAGCATTACAGGTGAGTTTTCCTGAAGCAATGAAACAATGTGTTCTTAAAGTGTGCATTTTAAGGAAAATGTATGCTAAAATCCACATGAAATATGTGATCATGAGAGTCATATGTTTTCCTATATGGTTGGATGGTAGTGACAGAGAGTGGGTTTATAAATCATGACCAAACCTTAAAAAACCTAGTTTTTGGATATCAAACGAACCTCCTTTGATGGTAATTTAATGATTGATGACCCTGATTGCCCATCTCGAAAACCTGCCAAATCATGCAAATCGGATGTCCGGATTGGCGATCAGGTCGAGTGAGTTGGCCAATAAAAAATTAAAAAATTAGAATAAAAAATTGAAAAATAAAAGGTGGGGCTGGTTCTAGCCGGTTCCTGATATTTCGGCAGAATAGGGCTGGCTTCCTGATCTCGATTGGCGATAACTAATGTATGAGTCTGTATCATTGACTGGGCGGTGATACCTTTATGTCCACACATTTTATACGGTCAAGTGGATCACCAGACTTTGGTATCATTGCGTAAGATATGTTATTCTAGATATTTCTACTTCTTTTTAAAGATGAAAAGTTATGAATTATCAAATAATAATGGAGAATTTGTATCAAAAAATAAAAATAAAAATAAAGGAAAGAGATTTCAACGTTTTTTTAAAATATTTTCTACTAGATTACCTATTTTCTTTATGCATGAAGATAATGAATTCCATTGTTGCAGTCATATGCTTCTTTCCCATGGATTGATATGGAAAATTGAATATTTGTTAGATTTTATATGATAAAGGAGCTCGGAAGTTTGGGTTTCTAAGCTTGAGCCCACTGGGGTGCTTTCCCTCCTTTAGAGCAGTAGTTAACCCAAAGGCTGGTAACAATGAAGGAGGATGTTTTGAGGAGGCTTCTGCACTTGGCCGAGCACATAACCAAGCTCTCTCAGCTGTGCTCAAGAGTCTGCGACACCATCTCAAAGGATTCAGATATGCAAATCCCAATTTCTACAACTGGTTATATGATAGAATCATAAACCCAACAAAGTTCGGTACGATGTTCTTAGTGCCATTATTAATCTCACATAAAGAGAGAGAGAGAGAGAGAGAGAGAGAGTTTTACAGTAAAGCCATTTACTTTTGGCACAAATAGGTCCCAATCATCTCTGACCATTAGATGTGAAATTGAGTGGATAAAGGTGTTATTGATTGGGTACAAAGTCAAAATAAAATTTACCATTTACTTTTGGCACAAATAGGTCCCAGTCATCTCTGACCATTAGATGTGAAATTAAATGGATAAAGGTGTTATTGATTGGGTACAAAGTCAAAATAAAATTTCTTGAATGTTGTGACACACTTTAATTTGTAATATTTTACATCTATTGGTTGAACTTCATCGTGACCTCTTTGTACTAAAAGCAAGTTGTCTCATAGAGTACAATCGCTATTTAAATTCCATTGATTTGAACTTTTGACAATCTCTAAAAAGCCCCACATTCTAATTTTTCTTTGTGTGTTCATTTTACTTGGTGCTACCTTCTAAAATTGATGTGAGTGTGTAGCATCTGTACAAAATTGAACCAATCTTTATTCCTTTTATTTTTTTTAACATTCACACACTACTTCTTATTCCATCAATTCATTGCCATGAGTGTCTAATAAGGTTTGGGAATTCTGGCGCATCCTCCCACATTGAAAAATAGCCGAGTGGTTTAGGCTGAGAGGGAGGAAGAAAGAAAGGAGAGATCAATGGGGGACATTGGTCCGAAGTTCCTTTAGGCAAAAGTTCCACCTCAGAATCTGGCAAAAATAATAGCTACTCCGAATTAGCTAATGCATGATCAAGTCGCATGACCAAGTTGCAAATGGATACAACGGGATCCCACACTGGTATTCGACCAAGAGAACCACCCATGAGATGTCCCCAAATCAACAAGCACATAATCCGCAAAAATCTTTGCAAAGCAACCTGCATCAGCACTTATCTCATTCCTTCCTCCATGCTTCTCGGCACCCACTAGACCATCAAGGGTGACGACGAGCCTCACCACCTGTGATGTGCAAGTTGTCGGCCAAAGGAGGCAAGGAGGCTCATTTGATGAGAGCATGTTTATCATCAAACACTTTGTTGTAGGCCTCCTGCTTGGGATGCTGAACTCAGGGAAGAAGGGGGAAGGATGAAGCGTAATAGGTAAGGAGTCGGTGGAACTACAGGGGAAATGAGGGTTGTGGTATAGGTGTTGTGTCAAATCCAAAGGGTGCTAGGTCGTGGTGGTGGCACGTCCATACCTAGTTACTACGTTGTGATTTCCAATCCTACTGATACTATCCCATTGACACTTTAAAAAAAAGCGAACTCCCTAATCTATATGGAAAAACTAGTAGGGGCCTATCTTCCCCACTGAATTACCCGAAAGAAAACAAAATCCGAAGGTGCTTTCATCTTTTTTTCAATGCTTTACCAAGGCGCCTTGTGTACAAAAAAACAATGTAAATTTGACAAATATGTTGAAACCCTTATTGAAATGATGATGGATTGACAATTTTGCATAATATTTTGAGAATTGTTTGTGAAGGTTTCAGGGAAGGGTTGGTCGCTTGCTGTGGAATAGGTTCATTTAGGGGCACATACACCTGTGGAAAGGGAAGGACAGTTAAGGAATATGAGTTATGCGATGACCCCAAAACACATGTATGGTGGGACTCTTTTCATCCAACTGAAAGGATTCATGAACAATTTGCTTTGGAACTTTGGGGTGGTGCCCCACAAGCTGAGGGTTCCTACAATCTTGCAGCACTATTCAATTATGATTTGGGTACCACTATTGCTGATATAGTGGATATAGATGTCAATGTTAGCAGCTAAATGCATTGACATAATAACATCTTAAATGCACTCTTCGCTACTCAGCAATAAAGCTCAAATGTTATATGCAATGAACTAGTTCAACTCTTAACCAGGGTGAAATTCGTTAATAGTGGTAAAAACTATTGATAAGAGCAAAAACAGTTAGTGGTTGTTAAAATAATTTAAGGTTAAATTTTTTTAGTGGAAATCAAAGCAATTGATGGAGATGAAAACTGTTAACGACTGTGAAAACATTTAGCTCATGTCATCTACTACCAAAAATAATTGGGAAGCATCCGGTCTACATCAAGGGGACTGTAATTTGAGGCTCCAATTTTTGGTATTGTTTGGGGAGATGATTTCCATTTTCCTCACCTTCTCCTTCTCCCTTCGTTTTCCTCTCTTACCCTTCCTCGAGCTTTTGATGGATAGTTTTTGGTGTAGGATTGGCGAGGTTTTTGGGATTATTGTGTTTCAGGTATCAAGATAGGTCCTTCTTGGTTTTTGGGGAGTGCTCCTCCCTTTTCTTCGTCTTGTAATATGCATTTTAGGAGCTTTGTTCTTCTATCTAATGAAAAACACGGTTAACAGTTCAAAAAAAAAAAAAAGCACTCTTACCCTTGGATATCGCTCAAAATAAATGTGGCTACAATTAACGGTTAGAAATCAATTCTAATTTTATTTTTATTTTAAAATTTTACTTACTTGAATTTTATTTCAGATCGAATAAAAGTATTGAAAGTTATCTTAGACCAACAAACTTGACCAAAACACCCTTAAAATAAACAAGATCCCTTCCTATTTCCTAATGCAACCCCTTCCAAAAAATCATTTTAAAGAAGGATATAAGATGCCAAATGCACCTTAAATTACTGTAGAATGATTTTAACTAGAAATCAAATATTTTGCAGCTCAAGAAATAGTGCAGATCTAATGATCTATGAAGTAAATGGTAGCCGATAATTTAAAAATAAAATTAAAAATAAAATTAAAAATAATATATTTCAAGTTTAAAAATAATATTTTTGGATCACAATTGTAGCAGCCCAAGTTCATTGACATTTGATATTTTCAGTCCAAAATCCGGCTTTAATATGGATATATGAAAGAGGCCAAATTTGAATAGGTGTGTATTGACACACCAAAACTCTTATCTGTGTATAAAAGAGGGTGTCTAGTATGCTCTTGTAGGAGCATTGCAATATGCTTACTCCCTTAGGCAAACGAGCTATTAGGAGGACCTTTTCAATATTAATTTGTTTTTATCCATCTTGTAATCAACAAATAATTATTTCTAAAAAAATATAATTTGGTTCAATTCTTAAGCACTTATGTACCTCATAAAATTTGTTTTAAAATGCCCAAATTGCCCCTATACAATTTTTAGCAATTTGGACCCATTTATGTGGGTTGACCTCTGCTTATTGAGGATTTTTTAAGGAAAATGCCTTTCATGTTAAAAATCTATTGTTTATGGTTCCTAAAACAAAATAACAAGAGGTATTTAGTTTATTTGGCACAAACATCAAGGCATGTGCAAAATGACCAATGAACCCTCAGCTATTCAGGCTTAGGAATGCGAAAATAATTTTTTCATGGAATGCACTTGTTCTGGTTTGCTAACTCTAAACAAGAAAAAGGTTAATATCGTCATTCAGATTTAAGAACTCAAAACTTTCTTTTTTCCAGTGAAAGTTATTCTTGTGTCCCAAGTTGGAATAAAGAGGGGTATATCATCATTACTCTTTAATTAAAGGGCACGAGCAAAATGACAATGTACCCATGTTTATTCAAGCCTAATAAAATGCAACTAGCTTTTTCATTCCTTAAATTTTTTATTTTTTATTTTTCCCAATTTTCAAGTCTGGATAAAGAAAGTTTTTCCCATCATTTGAACGCTCCTTCTTATTTAGGCTTCCAAAAACTAAACAGGTCTGCAGTGGTGGGCATTAGGTAAGTGCTAAGATTCTATGTGTGCATGTCATACAGTAAGATAAGTGAATATGTGCGTGAGAGCAATCTGGGTCGTTGGACTCATATGTTCATATGAGTTAGTGAGCTAATCCCAACTT